TGATGTAATGGGAAATATGTGGTTGAAAAAGAAGGAAAAATTATTGATGTGATGGAAAATATTATTTTATTGATGAATGTGTGGTTGAAAATGAGTAGAAGAATGAGAATGAAAAAAATAATGTGACTCAAATAGGGGCTGAATGTGTTTTTAGGATGGATGCTTTGACACAGCTGGTTACCTGTTGATGATATCATTCAGAATATGTATGGGATTCAATTGGCCTCCAAATGTTAATGCTGTAATAATTTAGAAAGTATTAGTCATATTTTTTTGGAGAGTTGTGTAGCTAAGGAGGTCTGGGAACACTTCTGCAGGATCATGAATGTACATAATATCACTGTGACCATCCAAGGGTAATGCTTATGCACTGGTTCTTGCAGAAGAAAGGAAATTCTGGGGAGATCAGCAAGATTGTTCCTCTGGTAATTATTTGGTTTCTCTGGTTAGCTAGAAATAATGCCAAACATAAACACTACCCGGTTAAGGCTGACAGGATCATTAAGCAAGTTAAAGTTCTGATTAATGCCCTTTAGAGGGCAGGAAGGATTAATGACAATGGGAGAAGCAAGTTAAGTAAGCTAATAGCTGTTAAATGGAACAAGCCCGATACAGGTTGGCATAAACTGAATACTGATGGGGCATTGAAAGCTAATTCATTGGCCTCAGGGGGTAGTATCCTAAGGAATAACATGGGAAATGCTTCTTGGGGTTTTTATGATTATTATGGGGATTGTTCCATTCTGGAAGCTGAGCTCAGAGTCATTGATATGGGCTTGCAGCTGTGTCTGAAACATGGGGTAAAGAAAGTCTGGATCGAATCTGACTCTAAGGTGGCACTAACTCTGATCAAACAAGACAATGGACCATGGGAGTACAATATATACTACAATCCATTAGATGGCAAATGGAGAAAATGGAATGTAAAATGACACACTTGGAGGGAAGGTAACCAAGTAGCCGACTGGTTTGCAGCGAATGGAATAATGAAAGGAATTTTAGATGGATGGGAGTTGACGAATTCGAGGGAAGGATCAAATGGCTGGTTAACCTGGACAAAATGGGAGTGGAGTCTATCAGAGTTGTTACTAACTAATTTTGCATTTTGTTTCTAGATTGGTTTTTAGTTGACATTGCAGTTTTAGTTCTGTTTTAGCATAAGCCTGTGTTGTTTTTCATTAGTAGCCTCATATAGGTTTGTTGTAATTTTTTGGAGTTAAGGTATTAAGTCCCCCTCTTTGCATTGTACTTGATTTTGTTTTAATGAAACTATATCCTACGGCTTGGATTTTCAACCTAGGATATTTTACCAAAAAAAAAAAATCCTCAAAATTATTATTGAGAATACTATTTGATAATGAGTACATTGTATACCGTCGACTCAACTTGTTCGATAAACGGTCAAATTCAAAATTCATGTTGTAGATTCAACCACTTGATCGAGTGTCAATCATGATATCAAAAATAATGTAAGTGTAACATGATTGTCTCGTAGAATGTCCAAATTTTCAAACTTATATATTAGTGGGATAAATAGGTACATTAATCATAAAATAACGAGCACATTTTCCGGGAAAAAAAGGAAAAAGAAAAAATAATCTGGGGCAATGAAAGAGAAATATCGAAGGATGTGGGCATTCCTTTAACAAGATGCAGGATAAGTACATTTCACTGACATAATCTTTGTGGCTGTCTGCACTTGTAAAATGGACTTCGAGAATTTTGTGCCAATGTAAAGACACAAATGTATAGGCAAAATTGTTCTCTTGTCCACGGTGTGCAAAATAAGATAGAGCACTTACTGATCTGACAGAAGAAGTTTACTTATGGTATTCACCAAATGTGAGAACTGTAAGTAAAATTCTTTTCAAATGCATAAGATAAAACTTCTCACTGTAAATAGGAGAACATTTATGATGTATAGAACCTACAAATATTCATTTCAAATTTCTATTTATTTATAATGCCCATGTTTTGGTTTGAATTAAAATTAAATTAAAATCTCAAGTCAAAATCCCATTTTGATTTGGATGTAAATCAAATTAATATTTTAAGTCAAAGTCAACAATTAATTTTAATCATACATTTTATGCGATTCACAATTTTTCAATCGCACATTTCATTAGTTCGTGAATAAAAGTTGAAATTTTAGTTATTACTATTTCGTGAGTTCTATGAAATATGAAAATGTAAAGGAATTTTTTTATTTATTCGTAGCCTTAATAACTTACAAATTTTGGGAAAAGAAGGAGAAGATAAGAAGAAACAATTCTTTTTTGCTTCTTATCAAAAATTATAATTAATCCATAAAAAACAGATCAAAAAAGTGAAAATTAAACAAAAGAAAAAATAAAATCACTAACTCTTTTTGCCCTCTTCACCATCATCTTCTACGTAGGCCTTCTTCCTCCTATCAACCCTACCTAGTAAACAAATGACAAGGAAACACGTGGCATAAAGTGCGTGTACCTTCCAACTAGTCTTGGGCGGCTGATGCAACACAGCCCTGTGAAACACTGTCACGTAATAGTGCAGCCCAACAGCAAAGCCCACAAAGGTCTGGCCCAGGCCCAGTATCTTGAAGGCCAGCCCAGTTTCAGTAGAGAACACCAAGATCAAGTACATCAACAGCAGCAAGAGATACAACACATAAGCAAGAGTTTGCAACACTTGAACACACACATAGGTGGACTGCGAAGTTGCGTAAAAAAACTTGACAGGCTCAAGCCCAGTGACCAATGAAGATAAGCAGAGTATGGAGAAGTATATGGCTAAATAAGCCTGGATAAAAATCAAGAGCTTTTGGAGTGAAAAATAGGCTTTGATTCTATTAAAAATTAGAGAAACAAGAAGTAGTGGGATCAAAATAAAGGCAAATGAGGCTATGGAGGCAATCGTGGGTGCATATTTGTTCCCAACATAAGGTTTGAATCCTTTGGTAAACTCTTTATTATATTTTGTAAGATAAACTTTTGAGGTTTTGGAAATTCTTTCCAAATCTGGCAAGAGAGTTTCTTGAAACTTGGATGGGAGGTCTCTGAACCCAGAAACAAAGTCATCTTCATCATCTTGATCAATCCAGCTTGGTTGTGACTGTTTTTGGGCCTTCTTGGGCTGAATTGTTTCTGGGTTTTTGGATTTGGATTGAGTGACGCTCTTTTCCAACTGGGCTTTGGTTTTGGTTTCTTTACTAGTCATGGTGGGCTTTGTTGTTTTGTTCTTGGGTGAGCTCAAGTTGTTTAAATCTGAAGATTTCTTGGGGAAAAGTGAACTGGTCTTTGTAGTAGTAGAATTTGAGCTTTTTGAAGTGGAATTTAGTTTCTTGAGCTGGGATTTGATTGTGGGTGTAGAAGCATCAGAAGTGGATTTAATGAGCTTGGTTTTGTTCTTGGTTGAATCAGAAGGAAGGTTGATAAGCTTGGTTTGGTTCTTGATCGAACCTGTACTAGATTTAATAACCTTGGTCGTGTTTTTTGAGGAAGATAGTTTGGTAGAAGTAGTTTTCTTCTTAATAACTGGTTCATCTTCTTCTTCTACCTCTAACATTGATCTTCTTCCACCAAAACTGTTCAGTTGGTATGCAGAAATGAATGTTGAAGTGAAGAAAACAAAGAAAAGCAGCAGAAAAAACAGTACCTTTTTCAGACTAAAACCTTTGAGTGGAGCCATATGTACTGAAATGTATGCTTTGAAGATCTCTGATGAGGCTTTTCGATTGGATCTAGATTTCAGAGAAAGAAAGAGAGGAGAAAGGCATTTATTGGGATTTGAATCCACACTTTTTTGAGTGTGTGAAAAGGGGGCAGTGAAGTAGATGAGTCACATGGTGATGGAGCCAGGCAGGCATATGAGTATTCCATTTCTTACGCGGTATCACTTTCTTTATCAATATCAAGTGCCTGACTACGACTTCATATAGTCACCGATTTTGGCCCATAGCAAAACATTTCAAAACAAAGTATGTTACGGTGTCAACTAGGTTAGCTGAAGTAGTTTAATTACCTCACCGACGGCCACTCATATGAAATATAGTAATTCTACTTTTGACTTTAATATTAATTTGGCCAAATTTAAAGTTAACTTTCTACACGTTCAAACAATTCTTTATCGCAATTTTTGTATACATTAGTTTCTTTTAAATTAATTATAGTAGATTTATTCTACAAAAATATAATCTAGCGAGATTGTTCTTACTTTGTACCTTCAAGTATAAATCATTACAATCAATTCTCTTTTGAACGATATTAATATATAATCATGGATCATAATCGTATTTCAACTAAATCAATGGTCAGGATTAATTAGGCATGGCTTGGAGGTCAAATTTTGACCACAGGCATGAAGAGTAAACACAAACAAGTGCTGTATAATCCGGAAATCATGCCTCGAAAGTAAGAGACCGGTAGTTGACATGTTTGACCACAGTGTATTAAAGTTGTGAGCTTTGATGGGGTCAAAATTACACGGAGTGGCATGGTGGGTCCCATACAGCCGAGCCAAGTCGGAATCTGTATAAATTAATAAAGGACCATTTGTGCAGAAAAGGTTTTTTGCGCACAATGGTCCCTATAGTTTTCCCCTTGCTGCGGGTTGAGGACCTAATGTTCCATTTTTTCCAGTGACGTCTCTATTTCAACCTTTCATCGTGCAAATGGTCCTTTCCATCCAAGTCCATCCCATTTTGCCATTATTGTGTCGAGTACTATTCACTTTCCTTATTTCAAAAAAAATAAATTCCATCTCCTCACGCTTCGAACAGACCCTTACATAACTATGTTTGTGTATATTCGTATATATATACACAAAAGGACAGAGAGATTTGGCCTTTAGAATTTATGTAGAAAATGAGTCAATATAGTGAGGAGATGGAATTTATTTTTTTNGGTGAGAAATGAGACAGATTTGGACGCGGGAAGTGCTTCACGACGAGAGATAAAAATGTTCGAGCTCCGACAGGTGAAACAAAAGATAATCGCGCTACTAATGATCACCAAATGAGAACCAGAACTAATAACCAAAGAGATCATTAGAATATGTGGAAGGATAGAAAACAAGAGAGTATTGTAAATTATAAAATCATCTACTTATGTAATTTTTCTACCAAGTGCATGATGAAAAAAATGAAAAGACAAATGTGTGTAAGAGTATTTGTCAATATTTCCGCTTGATTCCATACTTGGGAGTTCAAGACATGAGAAAATGATAATTCTAACTCTCATTTTTTTACCCATTCTAAGTTACAAAGTGGATCTATTTATAATACCTTGACCGACGTGGTGTCCGTTGGATCAGAATCACGTTGCCTCATCTCCTTAACTGATACTTCACATCATTGTCTATTCATACAATTAATAATTTGATAAGGGGTAAGCCATCCTACACACTAGGCTGACATCATAGTATCTTCTATTACAACTGTTACATCAGTCACTTCTAAAAGATACTCAAATATCTTTCAAGAGACAACGTCAGCTTATGAGATTCAGATAAACTGAGAGTTTCGGAGCTGATCTTTTGAGTGGGTGGCTTCAGCTCCTTTCTTCGTCTCATTAGGCAATGCATCATCCTAAGTGTGGTGCTATGTTAATTGAGGCAGTGCCTTGGTATCTGCGTAATTTCTTTGCATCTTGAGCACTCGGGTCTTTGTTGACTTTCTGTCCACGTGGATTGTTAAGTGACACATTGACTTAGAGCTTTGGTGACAAAGCGTAACAATAGTCCCCCAAGTCTAGGCATGTTTATTTATGTAATGCATGGACTTTGGAAGTAGATAAAATTTCATCAGTTGGTGATTTACATCATGCCGCAATCTCCAATGTGCACGACTTGTGCAGACCTCCTAGTAGTGTTATCTTTAATTCGTATACTTGGGGACTTTCACTTTCGGGAACAGTTTTGAAGAAGGATCAGCAGCGTAGAAGAGTTCTGCAGTGCTCCGCTCTTTACTGCTCGTGCAGAAAAAATAAATCTAATGCTATGTAACTCTTTATCTCACAAAATCTTTCTCTCTATTTTGGCTCTCGTAACCCCACTCATGTTTTGAACCCTCTCTCACTCTTTTTATGGCTCTGATACCACTATTAAATAAACTAAGCTAATGTAAAATAAAAACAGATAAGCAATTGAGTTATTTTATTTGCACTAAGGTAGCCTATATATAGACAAAGCCATAAAAGCAATCATATAAAAATAGGACCATGAACGGACATCCCTAACTCCTGCCACTACAATTAAAGAACTAGAAGATAATAAAGAAACTCACTGAACAACTTCCTATGGACTAAGACAACATAACAGAGTCAAAGACTCAACATTAAATTATCTTATTGCAGACTTAGTGAAATGACCCATTGTACGAAGATACTCTGTCACTTCTCTATTCGTTGTGGAATAAATGGACTTTTTGCATAAATAGAACCCTGATTTTGTAAGAACATCTTTGAAACACACACCTTTTGCAAATCCTTTCGATGTTGTCACTCCAATTGCAACAATTTCATCTCCAGTCTCTATTTGATCTGAGAGTCTTTCAAATGGTGTTTGCATTGGAGATTTTCTCCTTCATCACCTCCCTTATTTAATGTTTCCATTGGTGTTGTTTCTCCTTCATCCCCTTTCATACATCTACGTGCATCTCCCTCAAATGGTGTTTGTATTCAATCTCTTTTGCAACTTCTTCTTCATCACTTTCAGAGAGTAACAATTCCATAATTTCAATTAATTTTACACCACTATATCGAATTTTCATTTTTCAGCCTTTTGCTTGTTCTTCGAATAGAATGCTACAATTTATGCATTTGATTCTTCTCTCCACTTTTACTCTGCACTTAGGATAGATGAAGCCTAGGTGGTTCTTCTCAAGTTTATAGATTTGTGATGACTAGTCCCTTCCTTTCATTGCTAATGTCCTTGGTAGGGGTGGGCAAAAAAATTGAAAAATCGACCAAACAATCAAATCAAATAGGTCGATTAGTATTAAAAAAATTGGTTTGATTTGGTTAATTTTAACTATTAAAATGTTAAACCGTATCCAACCCGCTAATTCATTTTTTTAATTCTTTTTGTCATTTTAAAATTCATATTTTTAAACTTAAAAAATAAAATAAAATAAATATAAATATAATTCTTTCTCAAATAATTTGTTTATTGTCTATACTTTTTCTTACAAAACTTCAAATTTTAAAAGAAAAGAAAAGCAAAAGAATTTTTTATGTAAACTACAAATTTAGATTTTAGCCTTACTTTTCATTCAAATGTAACCGTTTGTTGGTGACTATCGAATATAGATGATGATTTTGGATAAGTGACCCTTTATCATTTACATTATATAATTTATATATATTATTAGCAAAATATATATATATATATGCAAATAATTTTTTAACCAAAAATAGATAGGCGATTTTTTTAACTCGAACAAATATTCAAATCTACTAACCAAACCAAACCGACTCAAATCAATTTGATTTGGTTTGGTATGGTTTCAACAACTGAATTTGATCGATTTTGGTTGGAATTTACCCAAATCAATCAAGTCGATGTCGATTTCGGGTTGAGTTCAAAATCAACCCAAT